CACACACACACACACGCACCTTGGCTTGCGTCGGCCACGCACGCAACGAGGCGGCGGAACCTCCGCCCCCACCCCAAAGGCGCAGCGGCCCTCCGCGCGTCCCGCCGCCGAGCCGGGGGCGGCGGGCGGCCTCGGCGGGGGGCGCTACGCTGCTGCCGCGGTCGGCGCCGTCGTCTTCCGTCGTCGGGTCGATCGTCGTCCCCAGACCCCCTCGGGTAATGAAGACGACGGCAGGGTTTGTGCTATTTTCGGCCTCTGGGGTCCCCTCACCGGCCCTCAAGAGCGTAAACAAAACGGCTCAGGATGAAAATCCGGTCCTGGGGAATGGGTCGATACCTCCGGGGGCCGACGCAATGAACAAATAATGACGTCGGGGGTCTGGGTCTGCGGCCGTCGGCCGCGGCGGCCTCAGGCATCGGGCGCCTCGTGATTGTTGTTTGTATGCATTGTTTTGCCGATCGGCGCGGGCCCTCGCACCCCTCCTCCCCCTCCACGGAGTAGATCTTTTGGCTGTTTGGGGGCCTGTTTCAGGCAGGCGGGGTCTCTTCCACAGGACGCACGGCTGCAAACAGTCGCGTCAAGCAGAGGTCCCGAGCCAGACACCCGCCCCCCCCCCGTCCCCCCCCTTTCCGCCCGAAGTCGAAACGCCGAATGACAAAAACGCTCACCTCGAGGAGTCGCGGCGGCCGATTGGTCAGCGGATTTGGCCTTGGAGGCCCTTCTCGGGCCTCGGGGCAGTCCAACAGAGACTCGGGATGAGAAGTCGGCCCTGGGGAAGACGTCGAGAGAGGTCCAGGGGCCCCCACATGGCAAACATCGGAGCGCCCGATGTCTGGGGTCGTCGCTCTCGTCGTCTTTTTTGTCGTCGTCCGTCGTCGTCGTCCTTCGTCGGTCGTTGATCGTCGTCGGTCGTCGTCAGTGTCGTCGTCGTCGTCGTCGTCGTCTTCGGCCGCATCGTTTGTCGACGTCTTCGGTTCGGCGGTCCTCAGGCGTTTCTGGAGGTTCTCGTCGACGCGGCCAATCGCGGCTCGGGGATCGGGCATTGACGGACTCCAGGGGGGGTCGGGGATGTCGTTTTCGGCAGTCGCGGGCGCCCATGAGGCTGCAAATCCTTGGAGGTCAAGTTCAGCACCAGCGCTCGTGACCTCGCCCCATCTCGTCGTAAATGATTCAGCCGCGGACGGCTTTTGGCAATATCTCCTGGCGACCCTGGCCCAGCGCCGCCAAATGCCAGCCCAGAACGAATGGCTGGTCCCAGGGATACGGCCGAGGCCTGCCCACGTTGTAAAAATCACATGGCTTCGGATGTTGCCCAGAATTCCGGCGTCGGCGCTAGTATCTCCTTGACTTCGGTTTCTAATCTCGTCCAATCCTGGTTAATCTGACCTATTATACTTCGTCCGGCGAACTATGATACTATGTTCATACTCGAGATTTAGTGTCACCCAGTCGGGCTCGGCAGGTTTGGAAGGGCGATTTCTGCCGCTGCTGTCAGAGGTTGGGAGGTTCAAGCCCCGCCCCCTCCTAAAACCACAGGGGGAGGGGGTTCTGGACCCCCCCCTCCCCTGGGATGATGTTTCGGAGGTGTCCAAGATCCCCCCCTCCCCCCCCTTGCCTTTCCTTTGAAGGGCCAATTATTCGAGGGGTCCCGAACCCCCCCCTCCGCCAGCGACCACATCGACGACATCGCAGCCGCCGGCAAACGACAAACGACGACGACGACGACGACGACGACGACGACGACGACGACGACGATAGCAAACGACACGGACGACGACGCCGACGACGACGAGGACGACGACGACGACGACGGACGAAGACGACGACGACGACGACGCCAACACCGACGCTGGTGCCGACGCCGACGACGACGACAACGCAGCCGCCGACGACGCCGACGACGACGACGCCGAGGACGCCTACGACGACGCCGACGGCGACGATCGAGCCCTAGTGGGATACGATTGAAACTGGATCGAGCCCTAGCGGTATTTTATCAAAGCTGCATCGAGACTGAATCGTTTTTTCATAGCTGGACCCAGCCCCGTTAGGATTTTATTTATAAGTGGATCCAGCCGTAATTGGAATCTGTCAGCTTTTGATCAACTAGATCGACATGCTGGGTTCATGCTGGGCCGAGCTTTCGCATAATTCCATCAGACCTGGATCTGGCCCTGATCTATTCCTGCTAGAGCTGGACCCACCCGTAGTTTTCATTCGAGCTGGATCGAGCCCTAGGATGATTCGCTTATAGTTGGGTCCAGCCCTCGTAGAATCTTGCTAGAGCTGGATTAAGTCCTACTAGTCCTACTAGGATTCCTTCCCATCTGAGCTGGTTCGAGCGCTAGTAGGCTTTTGAGAACGCTGGATCGACCCGTAGAAAGATGTTGTTCGAAGTGGATGGGGCCCTAGCAGGGTTGCGATGGAAATATATCGAGCCCTCGTAGGATTCGATTTGAGCTCGATTCTGGCCTACACGGATGAGATTGGAGTTCGATCCAGTCTCAGTGGGACTGTAAGACAGTTGGGTCAACCCCTTGTGAGATTACTTCAGGGTTGGATTCAGGCTCAGTAGGATTCCATCAGAGCTGTTTCGAGTTATTGTAACATTGTTATTTGAGTTGGATCCAACTTTCATGACATTGCATTCTAGCTGGGTTGGGCCTGAGTAGGACGCCAGGTGTACCCGCTGGAGCTGGATCTGGCCCTCGTAGGATTAGTAGCAGGATCCCATGTTTGATGGATCGAGCCCCAGTAGGGCTCTATCAGAGCTGGACCGAGCCTTAGTAGGATTCGATTAGAGCTGGATTCTGCCTTCTGAGAGTTCTAGTAGAGCTAGATCCAGCCCCGACAGGATTTTATTAGACGTGGGGCGAACTCTCATAGGATACCAGCAGAGTTGGATCGAACCCGAGTCGCATTTTATTGAAGCCGGCGCCGGCGACAGGTGCGCCGCCGCCGCCACTGGCGTTGTCGCCGTCGTCATCGTCGTCGTCGTCGTAGTCGTGGTCATGGTCGTCGTCGTCGTCGGCGGCGTCGGCGTCGTCGTCGTCGTCGTCGTGGTCGTCATCCGCCGTGGTCGTCGTCCGTCGTCGTGGTCGTCGTCCGTCGTCGTGGTGGTCGTCGTCGTTCTCGCCGTCGTCATCATCGTCGTGGTCGTCGGCGGCGAGGTCGTCGTCGTCGTCGTTGCCCACGGGGCGGGGCCGGAAGCCGTCGAGTCATTTTCCCGGGGGAGGGGGGGGGGAAGGAAGAGGGGCGGCCTGGGCCCCTCCGAGAAATTTTCCCGAGGGGGGGGGGGGGCGGTCCAGAGCCCCCCCGGAACAGTTTTCTGCAGAGGGGGGGGGGGGGGGGCCGGACCTCCTGGTTCTTTCGCGGGGGGCTGGGACGGTGGGGGGGTGGTCCGGGGTGTCCGGGGTGTCCGATCCCCCCCGCAATTTTTTGTTCAGGCCAGCGACGGTGGATCGCGTTCCTTCGACGCTTGGACCGTCCCCTAGAAGAAGTCCAGGGGTTGCCCCGCAATAGACAGCCATAGTCCGCGTCCTCCCATCTCGATGATCCCCCTCCCCTCGCCGACTTCAGGCATTCTGCATCACGTGAACATGTGCAACGCCCAAGAGGTCGCGCCCCGTTCCCAACCGCGCCACGAAAACTGTCTCCGGAAGTCGAGCTGGAGAACGAGCCTCAGGAATCACCCAACAAATCCTTTGGATGGTCTCTTTGTCCCGTGTCGGCCGTCGACAGCCCCAGGGCCCTTGAACGACCTCCGAAAGTCCAGGACCGCGAGAAACCAGACCTGCCGATTCTTTATTCAGGCCGCCTGTCGCAGACCCCAATTTCGTGATGCCTTGCGGGCGCCCTACTTTGGACTCAGGCAAGTTCATTGGCCCTCCTTCCATTTTCCGCCGGCTTTTCAAACAGCGCTGGGCCGAACAGGCGTGCAAGTGAGTCCCGACTTGAGCGAAGTCCATGGTTTTTCGTGGCCACGCCACGCCCCCTTCTCTTCCTCTACACAAGAGAACTCCACTGTTCGAGGCCGACGTCTATCCCGATTCCCTGCGAACGCCTCCTCATCATGAGCCGTTGTCTGACGGCCCCTTGGCCCAATGATGGCCCCAAGCGGCCGACAGCTGCCAAACAAATATCAAATCTCGTTTTCTGTTACGATTCGAGGGGGCGTGGCTTTCGGGCCACAACTCGTGCATCCGGCGGCCGGTCAGACATCCGACGATATCCGCAGCCCCAGAGTTCCCGCCCGCTTTCGACAGCCCTGGGGCGCCGGGGCCCAGCAACGGGCCCGCATGCAGGGCCGACGCCGACGAGAAGCTGCAGGACTGCACAAGCGTCACGCATCGCGGCGCCGTCTGCTCCGACGCGCGGCCGTGCGTCTCGGGGCGGCCGCCTCGGGCGCGGTGGGCTCGCTGTGGGGTTTGCCGCGCGCTGTGGCCTCGGCCACCTGGGGCGCGTGGCGGGCTCGCCGTGGGTTTGCCGCGGCGTCGGCGTCGTCCGCCTGGGGCGCGTCGAAGGTGAGCGGCGCAGCGGCACGTCCATCGGAGATCTGGGGCTCGATCCGCCGGGCCGGGCCGCCCGCCAGAGCGGAGGAGGAGGAGGTTTTTTTTTTTACCCAGGCACCCAGCGTTTCGATTTGCTTGAGGCACGGGGCCCCGACGTCTCGACCGCTTCCCCGGACCAGCTTTTTGTCCATCCCGGGCGGTGTCGTGTGTCGACGGCCCTGAAGGCCTGGCAGAGCCGCCCCGAGAGCTCGAGATCTACGCAACGCCTAAATACGTCCCGATGCTTCCGAGACGCTGCATGCCAGGGCACAGTGGAGACCCATGCCAAGAAACACCCTGCTTGCCTCCAGGGTGCCCTGGGTTTCTCGGGTTTCGATGGCTTTGCTGTGGAGAGCGCGACGCTCCCACACCAAAGGTCAATAATGGACGTCCTGGGGTCTCAGGGTTGGGTTTCTTGTGGCAGGCTTCTTGTGGACTGGCCTCCACTGCATGCCTGGCGGCCTCCCCGCCCGCTTGGAGTGCCCCGCCCGATCCCGCCCCCGGCAGGCCGCCAGGGCCGCCTGGGCCGCGCGGGCCGCGAGGGTCGAGGCGGCCAGGAGGCCCGCAGCGCCGAGGTGTGCCAGCCAGCCCGGCGGGGGGAGCAGGCCGCGCTGGGGCCGCCGCTGGGGCCCTCTTGGTCGATGGGTCGGTTGGCGGCGGAGTCCGAGCCCCGCCCTCGAAGAAGGAACAACAAAAAACAGCATAAACGTAAACTTTTTGCGCTCCGCCCGGATTTCTTGGCTCCGCGCTGGGCCCCCCTGGCGGCGCCTCAGGCCCCGCCCCTGGCGCGCCCCGCGCGCCAGGGAAGGGGGTCCAGGGCAGATCCAAGAAATCTGCGCGGAGCGTCAAAAGTTTATGTTCGTGACGTTTTTTCTCTGCTTATTCCTGGTCGAGGTCGGTCGGCGGCGAAAGCCGAGCCCTACCCTCGCCGATCAACGATCCAGGTAACTCGATGGGCGGCGGGGGGGGGTCCGGAAGTCGTCTACCCCCGCTTCCCATCGCTTCGGGGGAATCGACGGTTGGATTAAGTCGGGCCTGTCCCTCTACAAGGGGAATGTTCAACAGTAGTCCAAAAATAGTCGGGGGATGGCTTTTTGTATGCATGTTTGGTCAATTTTTGGATAACTTTGGGGTATAGCTTTCATTTTTCTTTCAAAATCCCCCTGTAGGAGGACAGGCCCGACTTAAGCTTACCCCCGCTTCCCATCGCTCCCAGACCCCCGGCGTCATGATTTTTTCATTGCGTCGACCCCTGGAGGTCTCGACCCATTCCCCTGGACCGCTTTTTCATCCTGAGTCGTTTTTTGACAATCCCGAGGGCCAGCAAGGGCCCCCAGAGGCCGAAAATAGCAAACAAAAAAACCGTCATGATTTTTCCATTGTCCGAGGGGGTCTGGGCTTCCCATCGTTTTAGGGGAATCGATGGTTGGGGGGGATTGGGTTTGGACGTCGCCGCCTTTTTTTTTGCCCGAGGGGTCGAGGCCTCCATAGGCCCGTCTGCTGCCTGCGGCTGCTCCCTTCGCCCCTCCCCTCAGGTCTGGGCTTCAGGCGGGCGTGTCCCTCTCAGGAGGAATATTCAAAAATAGTCATACAAGTAGTCTGAGGACGATTTTTTAAAATATGACATGATGTTTGATGTGTGTTTTGAGTATGTTTGGGGGTCTTTTGTATTTTCTCGTCCGAAATCCGCCTGTAGGGGGACACGCCGACCTAGATCTGAGCGTTGCAGTTTTTCACAACGGGAGTGGTCGCCCGGCTTCGGGCCCCGGGACCCTCACAGAGCGATCCGGTCCGACAAAAATAACGCAAGATGGTACATAGGATTCCGCTCGTGATTTTTTGCGATGTGAGGTAGGCCCTCCGGGTTGGGTCGGAGTAGGTGGGGTCAGAGGATCGCTCCGCATCGACGATGCATCGACGATGCGCTCGATGTGGAGCCCGATTTATGCCGCGATGCATCGCCGAAGTCGCCGATGCATCGCCGACGCCGCCGATGCATCGCCGACGGGGGATGCTGCGCGTTCCTCTGACCCCATCTGGACTCCATTTGGGAGGCCTCTGTCCACCTCGTCTCCCGTCCTCTCCCCTCGCCTTCTCCGCCCTGGCTCCCTGCTCGCGGTCTCGGTCTTTGGTCGGGGGTCGAGGTTTCCAGGCCCGTGTGCTTGCGGCCCGACTGCCCGCGGCTGCTCCCCTCGTCCTCTAGCTCGTCTGCCGTCCTCTCCCCTCGCAGTCTCTGGCCTGGCTCCGTGCTGGCTGCCTCGGCCTTTGGTCTGGGGTCGAGGTTCTCAAGCTCGAGGCCCAGACATTCTCGCGTCGTGAAAAGAACTTCGACGGTAGGTGTGCTGCATTTGTTGGCCTCTTGGGGCCCTCGCTGTGCACCAGGATCGTCCAAAAGCGATCCAGGATGTAAGTCCAGTCCCAGCGCATGGGTCCAGAGCACCTGGGTCTTTCAGATGTCCGACGATGTGATTGTTTCAATCCTGGCGCTTTCCTTGCATTGTTTGACCTCCATGGCAAGCTAGCGGGCGTCGCGGGGCCAACAAGCGCGGCTCTGGGGCGAAAAACCGTCCGGGGGTGAAGGTGTCGGACTCTCGGGTTGCGGAGTCCAACAACTATACAGGCGGAGGTGAGTGCTGGCATTTGCTCGCGGGTCGACCAAGCTTCCAGGCTCGGGGGCACTTCTCGCTTTTTGTCGGAGGCCTCCTTGGGGGCTCCCCGTGGTGCTTGTCGCCATGGTTGCTTGGAGACCCCTTGTAGGGGCCCCTGCTCGCCACGCCTGGACCGCTTCTTCAGAATCCCGGCGCCAGGACGCCTCCGCGAGAACAGCTCCAGGGGCAGCGCTTCGGTTGCTTCCGCGGTCCGCGAGCCCTGGCCGAACGGCTGGAGCCGCTTCGAACTCCTGGCCAGAACGCCTCCGCGAACAGGTCCAGGGGCAGCGCTTCGGCTGCTTTTTCGCGGTCCGCGAGTCCTGGCCGAACGGCTGGAGCCGCCCCGAACTCCTGGCCAGAGCGCAGCCGGCTGCCCAGCCCTGGGAGCGCCCTGGGAGCGCCTTGGAAGCGCTCTGGGAGCGCTCTGGGAGCGCCTGGGAGCGCGCTAGGAGCGCCTGGGAGCGCGCTAGGAGCGCCTGGGAGCCACTGGGATCGCCGTTTCTGGCAATTCGGCTGACTGTCCAGCCCTGGGAGCGCCCTGGGAGCGCCCTGGGAGCGCTCTGGGAGCGCCTGGGAGCGCCCGAGGAGCGCCTGGGACCGGCCCTCCGCGTCGTGACGGCTTCATGGCGGAAGGCCTTTCGTCGTTTCCGGCGTGGCCCTGGCCAGGTCCCGGGACCGTCGAGGAGGAGCGGCTCGAGAGACGAGGAGCGGGTCCCGGCGAAGTGGTCGAGGGACCTCTGGGCGGGTGCACGTGGTGAACAAGATTGTGACGTCGGGAGGGGAATCGAGGGTCCAGGGTCGGGGTGAAGGTTCGGAGGTTAGACGACCTACAGTCGGGGCGCTGAAGAGGGAACCCTTTTCGTTGGGCAGGGGCTCGGTGTTTTTGATTGTTTTAAAGTTTGCCTTCGGGTTTTCCTGAGGCCTTCCATGGGAAGTCGAAGTTGAACTTATGGGAAAAGGGGCCTCGTTCCTTATCTAGAGTTCCTTAGGTCTACGCCTCGACGTTTCAGGTTCCGTGAGTTGCGTTCTTCGCCTTTTCTGGGGGGGCGCCTCCTGGGAGCTTGACGTCGCCGCGGCCAGATCCTGGCTGGAACATGCCTCGGACGAGGTCCTGGGGTAGAGTTTGAGCTCGGTTCGAGGTTCGAGGTTCGAGGTTGTGGTGCGGTTTTCGTTTTTGCTTGGAGACGAAGGGGGGTAGGGGGGGGAATGTCCCAATCTTTGAGAGAACGCGTGTCACGGGCGCTTGCCTTGGGAACTTTCGGCGGCGTGTTTCGAACCGGGGGGGGCCCCCCAACACTCGGGCGTCGATCAGAACCAGATGGATTCCCCCTAACTCCCCCCCGTCCCCACCCCCCCCCCCCCCAACCCCCCCCCCCCCGTCTCATCTCTCGGTGCTGGTGCTGGCGCCTGCGCTGGCGGCGGTCAGCAGCACCAACGGCAAAACGCAGCGACGATGACCAGAGAGAGCCCAGCGGCCACAGCAGGAAAATACAAATCGCAATATCGAGCCCTCGCTCCTTAAAAGCCAAAAGGGGCCCTTAGGAAGCTCCAGGAGACGCCCAAGAGGCGCCCCAGAGCCCTCGCACATGCTCCTCAGACGCCCCCGAGATGTCTCTGACGAGACCCCCAAGAAGCATCCATAAGAATTGTGACCCAAGGCCAAGACACGGTGGCGGGAAGACCCGAAGGCCCCACCACCACCAACCCCACCACCACCACAAACCACCACACCACAACCACCACCACCACCACCACCAGCACAACCACCACAACCACCACAACCACAAACCACTACGCCACCACCACCACCACAACCCACCACAACCCACCAATACCACCGCAACCACCACCATCTACCACCACACCACCACCACCACCGCCACCACAACCCACCACCACCACAACGCACCACCACCACCAACAACCACCACACCACCACCAGCACAACAACCACCACCGCCACCACCGTCATCACCACCCACCCACCACCAGCACCACCACAACAACCACCACCACCACCACAACCACCACAAACCACCACGCCACCACCACCACCGCCGCCACCACTACCACCACCACCATCACCATGACCCACCACCACAACAAAGCACCACGCAACCACCACCACAGCCACCAACACCACCACCACAACAAACCACCACCACCACCACTACCACCACCACCGCCACACCACCACCACCGCCACAACCACCGCCACCACCACCGCTATCACCACTACAACCCACAACCACCACCACAAACCACCACACCACAACCACCACCACCACAAACCACCACACAGCCGCCCAACCACAACCACCACAACTCACCACGCCACCACCAGCACCACCACCAGCACCACCACCGCCACAACCACCACCACCACCAAAACCAGTCGCCACCACCACCGCCACCACCACCACCACAACAAGCCACCACACCACAACCACTACCACCACCACCGCCACCATCACCACCACAACCCACCCCCACCCCCACCACAAACCACCACACCACCACCACTACCGCCACAATCACCACCACCAGCTTCACCACAACCACCACCACAAGCACAACAAAACCACCACCACCACCACAACCACCACCACCCCCACCACCACCACCACACCCACCACAACCTACCTCGTGCCACAACCTCCTACCACCACCACACCCACCACGACAAACCACACCACCACCACCGCCACCACCAGCAACACCACAACCCACCACCACAACAATCACCATCACAAACCACCACACCACCACCGCCACCACCACAAACACCACAACCACCACAACCACCACCACCACCGCCACCATCAACCACCACAACACACCACACCACCACAACCACACCACCACCCACCACCACCGCCACCACCACCACCACCACCCACCTCCACAACCGCCGCCACCACCACCATCGGCAACCACCGCCACCACCACCACCACCACCCCACCACCACCACCACCACACCACCACCAACACCACCTCCACAACCACCACCACCACCCACCGCCATCACCACCACCACACCACCACCACCTCCACAACCGCCGCCACCACCACCATCGACAACCACCACCACCACACCACCACCACCACCACCACACCCTTCCACCACCTCCACAACCGCCGCCACCACCACCATCGACAACCACCACCACCACCACCACCACCACCACCACCACCACACCCACCACCACACCACCACCACGACAACCACCACCACCACCACCAGACGGACGCCCAAGAGACGCTGGCGCCGCCGCCGCCAACCGCCGCCGACGCCAGCGCTGGCCCGAGGAGAGGGAAAGAGGATAAGTATGGGAGGAGGGAGGAGAGGGGGGGGGGGGGGGGGTCGACGCCCCTCCCTTCGTCACGGGAAGGGGGGGAGTTCGAACCCCTCCCCCCCCTTCAATCCAGGGGGGGGGTCCAGTTCCAAACCCCCTCCCTTTCAAGCGCCCACAGAATGCGCTCTTTCCAATCTTTGAAAACCAGGCCTGTTCGTTCGAAATGGATGGAGGGTGCGTTGCGCCGCGTCCCCCGATGGCGTGGGAGCAGAGGGAGGAGGAAGACAGCCACGACGATAGGAAGGAAGATTCCGTTGAAAAGGGGGGACGAGCGGGCACAAGGAGGATTCCTGGGCGGCACACTTTGTAGCTGCCACTTAAGCCCGCCGAGGCCACCTTGTTTTCACATGCCGCGGCCTCACCGTTCGTGAACGGTTGTTGCTTGTTCACGCTTGCTTCGTCCGCTTGCTGCTGCGCCAACGGACTCGACGAGCCATACCGATAACGCTCAGCTATCCGACGACGCGGGCAGGCGAATACAGTAACGAACAAGGAGCCCCTCCGCCCACTACGGTCAGAAATGTTGGCTAAGCGTGTCGCTCCGCCGGTTCTGGCCCACCGCGCTCCGGCGCGACACGCTATCTCTTTTCCCAGTCCCAGGCGTCAGCGCCCCTTAGGCTTCCCAGATGGGGTTCGGGTAGATGGGGTCGCAGGATCGCGCCGCATCGATGATCCATCGCCGCTCGCTGCCGCCTGCGAGGCGCTCCGAGCCTGGCCACCCGGATGCGGTCGCGCTGGCGTCGGCGCGGGAGCCGACGGCGCGGGAACCCGCGGCCGAAGAGTGCTGGCACGCTGCCGCAGGAGGCCCGGCTGGCCTTCCCCTTCGTCCGCCCTCCCCGTCCCTTGGTCCGCCCTCGCGGAGGGCCCTCCTCGTCCCTTGGCCTCCCAGAGTGCTGAACAACACGTAGCCCCCCAGACATTGTAGACCTGTCTGGGTTGTTCAAGACCTCGAATCGAACGTTTGGTTCCAAGGTCATGTTTTTGTTCGGTCCTCTACGAAGGTCGGAGCCCTCCTCCTCTTCTCCTTTTCCTCCTCCTCCTCCTCCTCCACCTCCTCTTCACCCTCCTACACCTTCTCCTTCTCCTCCTCCCCTCCTCCTCCTCCTCCTCCTCCTCCTCCTCCTCCTCCTCCTCCTCCTCCTCCTCCTCCTCCTCCTCCTCCTCCTCCTCCTCCCTTCTCGAGCAGGGAGGGTGCGGGGAAGGACAGGGGATCCCCTTCCCTCTCACAGGTGTCCAATTTCTTGGGGGCGCAAATTTTGGGAGGCGTCCTTCGTCATCGGCTCCAATGTGGCTTAGTCCTGCCAAATCTGTCTCCATCCCGCCTAATCCTGTCCAACTTCACTTAATGTGTGGCTTCATCTTGCTCAATGGGTTCACGATCAGGATTAATTTATTCTCTCCGGAGCGTTCCAGACCGCTCTCGGAGCGCTCCAGAATGCTCCGCGACTGCCGAGGCGCCAGAGACAGCCGCCAGACCCGCTGGCTCTCGGAGATTCCCGATTTATCCTCACCCTGATTTTGCCGCATCCTGGCTTCGTCCTCCTAGACGTCCTTGGTCGCCCCCACGATGGCACTGCAGGAGTTGTCTCCCCGCCCTCGGCCTGCTGCCCTCCCCCCTTGTGGGCTCTGGGTGGGGCTCTGGTTGTCGGGCCACTGGATCCGGGTCGAGGGACGAAGCCCCCAAGAAGCAGCTCAGACCCCCCCCCCTTGCGGCGAGACTTTCTCACTCTCGCCGCCTGGAAGTGTCCTCCTCCTCCTCCTCCTCCTTTCTCCTCCTCCTCCTCCTCCTCCTCTTTTCCTCACTCCTCCTCCTCCTCCTCCTCCTTTTCCTCCTCCTCCTCCTTTTCCTCCTCCTCCTCCTCCTCCTCCTCCTCCTTCTCCTCCTACCCTCCAACCCGACCACTCAATGCGGGACCCCACCAAGATCCCCAAATGACCCCAACAAGACCCCAACTTGATTACGATGAGAGCGAACGGATCTCGACATGGAACCAGCAATGTCCGAATCGGATTCCAATCGGATTCCAATAGTGTCCGAAGGGGATCTCAATATAATCGGATCCGAGGAGGAGTCCACCATGGATTCCCCCATGGGAGTCCACCATGGGGCTCATCGGTCGGATTCCCCCGTAGGACTCTCCCAGGACCCCCCCCTCGAATACAGGCCTCCTTCATAAGTTCATAGGACCACCCTACAGCGAGTTGACCAGCTAGTTGGTTCGTTCGCCTGCTGGCAAGTTCGTCTCCACCATCGGGCCTCGCTCGCCTCGTGGACGGTGCCGCGCCCCAATGCCTGCTCGGGCACCTCGTGACTCCCTGCTGGTGCGGGAGAGAGCTCGGAGGGGTTGCAGCAGGGCCCCCACGGCCCGTGCGAGAGAGGCCGAAGGACATGCCGCCCTCGCCTCGGCGCCGCGCTCGCTCTCCTGGAGAGCTGGGCCCCCGCTCGGGCGCGGCGCACACTCCTCGCACGCGCTGTCGCCGGCGCGCGAGCGGACGGACATGTGGTCCTCGCCTTCGGCGTCGCGCAGGCTTCTCGCGTGAGAGTGGCGTTCCCGCATCGACGCGGCGCATAATTATTGTCGCGAAGGCCCCTGTGGCCAGTGCCGCCGACCCTTTCTGCGGGGCCGCCTTCCGGAGCTTCCGCTGGCGACAACCCCCCAGGGACCCCAGGGGGGTGGCATTCTGACCCAGGATTCCGCCCCCCACCCCGGCGGGGAAAGGCTCAAAGGGAAGAGGCTTCCTCTCGATGTCCTTACGGCCGACGGCAGCTAGCGTTCGGGGGGAATGTTGCAGCAAGAAACACCCTGCTTGCCTCCAGGTTGCCCTTGGTTTCTTTGGTTTCGATGGTTTTGCTACGGAAAGCGTGACGTCCCCACACCAAATGGCAGCGGACGTCCTGGGGTCTCAGGCTTGGGTTTCTTGGAACGTTTCGTGTGGTCGAGCTCCTTCTGTGATCGCTTCTCGGGGTCACTTGTGGCCGAGGCTCGCCGGCGCCACAGAGACGCTCCTCCGCTACGTATCCAGCGCGCCTCCTGGTCGCACGTTTGGCGGTACTTCTCGGCCTCGCTCGGCCTCCCCCCCTCATCCTGGGCGCTTGGCGTGCTGCGCCTGCGCTCGGCGTGCGCCCCACGGCCAGGGAGCGTGCGGTCTCGTGCCTCCCCGCTGCAGGGCCAGGGTCGAGCGACGAGGTGCAGCGGCGCGCACGCGGGGGTGCCGCGAGGGGCTGGCCTTCCAAGAAGGCGAGGAACGTCGCAGAGTGCAGGGGCCTTCCTCGCAGCGCATGCGTTCCGCAAGCGTGGCCGTGCAGCTTTGTGATCTGGAGCATGCGAACCAGGATGTGCAACCTGGGCTCGCAGGATGAAGGACGTTCCCTGCGAGGGGTCGAGACCTCCAGAAGCCTAAAGGAGTGCAAAATGACATGACGCCGAGTCCTGGGAGCGGGGAGTCCCGTGCTGTTGCCCGAGTCAGATTCCCTCGAACGGGCGCCGAGGGCGAAAGATTGCGCCAGACTCCGGAGCCAGAGCCAGAGGCTCGACACTGGGTGCCGGAGGTGGGGCGGCATGCAAATTCGAAGCTTGCTCCCGGCATCGTGATCGTCGGCCACAGGCGCCAGTTTTCCAAGCTAAGCACGCGTGGGGCTGCGCCGCCCCAGCCGGTGACGAAGAGATGCGGAGAAGAGCAGAAGCAGAGGGGGTGAGGATGAGACTGGGGCGGGGGGGAATGACCATGGCGCGAAGGAAGGAGGGGGAAGATCGCATCCTCCGCATTCCTTTTTATCCGCCTGCTCTGGCATGCCCTCCTCCCCCGACGTCGAAACCGGCAGTCAAGTCCAGCAGGAGGACGTGTGGCTTGCGCAAGGATCCCCTGCATCGTTACCCTTGCCTGCTGACCTCACCTGTTGCCCTTTCGCGCGTCCAGCGGCCTCGCAGGGCCCCTGCACTCTCACAACCGTGCATCCTCACGACGGCCCTTCTCTCCAGGCGCACCTGGCCCGAGCGCCGCTCTGTTGCTTGACCGAGCGGCTTCGCTCTGCGGTCGACCGCTCCCTGCCGCCTCACCATGGCAGGCCAGGCCGGCCTCGCGGGTGCGCTGCTGGACGCCGACGGGCCGTCGGGCTCGGCTCCTCGGGGTGGGTGCGGTGCCGGGCCTGCCGGCCATCACGAGGCCGAGAGGGCATGCTGCGGCCAGCTGGACTGTGGGGCCCTCGTGAGCTGGCGCGGGCAGGGGGGGAGCCGCTCGTGGTGGCAGCTCGCGTGCACCGCCTGTCTCCTGGTGGAGTGTGGCGTGCTCTACCTCCACCAGGTCCGAGACAGCGACTGGCTGCTGAGCGTTGGGGCCCTCTGGCTGTGCAAGCTGCTGGTGGAGATCTGGGGCCAGACGACTCCCACCTGGGTCTGCCCCGGCGGGCCGTTGACGTTTGTCGTCGTGTACGTGTTCGGTGTGCCTGGCATTCTATACTACTACAGCTTCTGCAGGCGCAATAATGACATCGTGTTCGAAGGCAGCGAAACCCTTGGATTTGTAATGTTTGTTGGGGGATCGGCATATTCCCTGCACTACGAGTTGGAGCGGTTCGCTTGGAAAATGGATGGCCGCAATAAGGGCCGCTTACATACACACGCATTGGCGCGCTACTGCAGACACCCCAACTACTTCGGAGACCTATTCACTTATACGGGTTGGGGTGTCTTGGCTGGTACAACGTGTGCTGTAAGCGTACCTTTGTTCACTGTCTGGACCTTCATCTACTTTGTAATTCCAAATTCAGATGCCTATCTGTCGTCCCGTTACCAGTCTGAATGGCCAGAGTATGCGGAGAGGACGCCGATTCTATTTCCGTTCTTGCGTTCTTCGGTAGCCAACAAATTGTTGGCTTGGATGTGCCTGGTAATCAGCTTGCGTTTCAGCCTGAATTGCACAGGCCAGTGTAGTTCAGGGCCTGCGTGATGCAGTAATCTCTTGGCCCTTCCTGAAGGCTACGTGGGCCGAGCTTTCACACATCAGACAAAAAGCTGCGTTGGCCAGTCTGCGGTGAGCTGGGAAATGCAGAACACGCTGAGTTCGATGTATCTTTGGCCAGCCAAGGCAGCCAAGCAAGGTCCATGCCTTCGTCGCAGGTGCTCCATCTTGAACCCCTTGTAAAGCGCAAGCCAGAGATGGTCCCCGGCCCAGCAGGGCCCCTTGGGAGGCCAGGGACAAACGCCGTCCGTCGCGAGTCTTGCACGGCGCGAGGGGGTCCAGGGTCCAGGGTCCAGGGTCGCAAATCGGCCCCGAGGCTTGTCCTGGGGTGGTTCCCGACAGAATGTCGAGGTGGATCCAGCCGTGGCGACGGGGAGCCTTCATACAGGCGACCCCTCTAGTTCGATTCTCGCCGTGTCATCCGCCCCGCTGCGGTTCCACAAGCATATAATTTGTCGATCCCGTTTGCGGGTCGATCTCGCCCACGCCACTATGCCGAAACATTATGTTAGTCGCGGTGTGCTGGTGCCGTGGGAGCATGTGCTTGAAACCCGAAGCGTGGCGTGTCGAAATAATCATTTAGTTGTTTGCTTGGCGCTACATGCCCAGCCAGCGTCAAGCTAGCACAATCGCGCTTTCTCGCCATGGTTTCAAGATTGAATGATGTCTTCTCTGGCGTGTCTGCATGCCTGCGCCTTCGGGAAAGGGTTCCCGCTTGCGATCAAATTTGCAATGTGGATGCCGTTCCCGCTGCGTGATGGAGACGCAATGGCGCACGCATTACAGACGGGTAGTCGGGCTACGGCATCTGATGCCAGATTTCATCAGGCGCCCGGTGTGCAAGAACACGCCGAGCGCACCAGATGCCAGTCATCGTAGCTTCACAGATAACCGTGCGCCCCCGGTCTGGGCATTGGATCCCTCACGCGGTACGCTTCACAGGTGATTGTAGTGGCCTCCGGCCAGTGCCGCCGATCCGGGGCGTTCCTGATGCTATTGTTGTTGGAATGGACGATGACGACGACAACGGACGACCGACGGTCGACGAGCGGGATAATTACGACGACGACCGACGAAGGAGTTAACGACGACGAACCGACGACGACGACGATGACGACGACGACTGACGGCGAACGGCTGCCGACGGCCGACGACTGGTGAGGGCCATGGGTGGAAGGTTCTTCGCTTTCGCTTTCGCTTCCGAGCAATACCAAGTCAGGCCGTGCACCTCTGGCCTGGCAGCACGCGAGTGAGCGCCTCTTGGGGCCTCTTGGTTCTTGGAGCTTCTTGGGGGCCTTTGGGGCCTCTTGGGGACCTCTCGGGGTCCTCTTGGGGGCCTCTTGGGGACCTCTTGGGGGTCTCTGGGGGCCCCTAGGGGGCGCCTCGGGGGCATCTTGGGGGCTCTTGGGGTCATCTTGGGGTGGAGGACTAGAAGGGTTCGGGCGGGTTCACCCTCTTGAGGCCATCTTGGGGGCCTCTCGGGGTCGTCTTGGGGGGCCTCCAGGGCTATATTGGGGCCGTCTTGGACCGTCTTGGCTCCTTCTTGAGGGCCTCTTGGGCTGTCTTGGGGCGATCTTGGGGGCCTCTTGGACTGTCTTCGGCGCTTCTAAGTCGGAAAAGGCGATAATGTTAACATGCTTCAAAACCTATTAGCAACTTTATTATTGTACCCTCTTGGGGCCCTCTTGGGGGTCCTCTTGGGATCTCCTTGAGGCGTCTTGGAGGCCTCTTGGGCCGTCTTCAGGCCATCTTGGGCGTCCAGGAGCGATCTTGGGCCGTTTCGGGCGCCTCCTGGACCGTCTTGGTGGCCTCCTGGGCCCCTTTTGGCCCGTCTTGGGGCGGTTTGGGATTCCCGGGGGGGGGGGGGAAAGAAAGCGTGGACCCGATGACCCCCCTCCCCCCCTCCCCCCCCTACCCCGGCAGAGCCCCCCCGGCCCCCCCCCAGCAGAGCTGAAGCTCAGGTTTTAGCTTTCTTAAACTCACACGAAGGATCGGTGGATTTTCGTTTGCGTTCGTCTCGGAGTGAAATCGTATTTCGCGCGCATACTTCATGCCTGGGGGTGGCTCACCTGCTCTATGAACTCATGGCCCGTCGAACCCACGCCTTTTGTTTTGTTACCCGCGCTAGTCACTCCCGAACAAATGCCAAGCTTCCAAGTGCAGATTGTATAAACAAATGCGCGCTCTGTGCTGCACAAGCCGAGCTTGGGGTGCCTGTATCGATACCTTTACCCGCTGGATCCCGTGACCAAGTATACAGTATACCCACGCATTGTGAAACGCGGAGTGGCATTGCCATGCTCGTTCTCGCAAGAGACGCGCATGAACAAATTTGTGACAGACCGACGACGGGTTTCCCGTTTTTAGACGTGGCAGCGGCCTCAAACATGTTCGGAAGTGGGGCGCGCTTGCGGGAGGGGAGGGTGCCCAACACCCACAAGTTTGGCACAACGGGGATGCGAACTTTCAGTGCGGCGGCCGAACCACTGGACCTGTATACAAATATTTGGGGAGCTAGTGGATGGGGCGGCTGCCAGCGTGCTCCCTTCATCCTCGGCCTGCGGGCCGTCAGCAGGGGCTTCGGGATAGCAAGCTAAGCTGTGCAACAACGAAACAAAAGTTTACATTCGCAGACACTGCGCCACATCACATCTCATTATGACGCATTGTGTTGCACAGCCATCATATTGTATGGATCTTCATTCCATAGAGTCTGACCGCACTGCACTGCTTTGCGCTGCGCTACAACACGCTACTCCACACCACTCCGCATTCACCACACCATACCTCACACCTCGCGCAACGAACTAATACACAACAAGCCTCGTGCTACGCACTTCATGGCACGCTGACTACACGCTAGACGCTACAGTCAACAGGCATTGAGCACACACACACACACACGCACCACATACTTCTCCATACGCGTTACACCTTATACACTGCGCACTAAGTACTATTCCATATGCACTACGCCATACGCGCTACGACTCGCTTCCCTGTTGGTATGTTTCGAGCCAGTTTGGATCTACATGACGCCGTTGTTGGGTCAGACTTGGAAATGCAATTCGACGCCGATGGGTTCTTCCTGGATCCGCTACTTCCAGCGATGCATCCGAGGTCTCTGGCGCGACTGCCCCGTGCAAAGATGTGATGAAAGGGGCTCTGCGAGGCTTGCCCCTCCCACGGATTCGACGGAGCAGTTTGGTGGGGCCGCTCCGATGCAGGGTGTCCCGGAGACTTTTCTGCGACGGACGCGAAGCTCCCCGTGCTTGTGCTGACAGGCTACCCTGGCGGTGACAAGGCGACGCTTCTCCACCACGTGCAGGGCAGCACCCTCTGCCGCCGGCCCCACAGGCCGAGCCCCCTCGCGGCCACATTGGCACGGTTTTGGAACAAGAAGGCAAACAACAAATAAAAGAGAAAAATTGTTGGAACAAAAAGCGGAGCCTCTCGGGGGGCATCTTGGGGCATGTGGGGCCCCCTTCTGGCTAGCTCGGGGAAGCTTGGGATTATATTTACTGGGGCCTCCAGGGCCAATCTCGGGCGATTCTGGGGACAATCTGGACGCTCTTCTAGCGGTGCGGGCGGCACCGTGAAGCCTTGTGGGGCCACCTTGGGGCCGTCTTGGGCAATCTCGGGCGCTCTGGGGGTCGTTTTGAGGCGGCTTCGGAAGTTCTTGGGAGTAACACAGTCTGGACAGAGACAACAAGAGACCAGCATATTATGTCGAGGGTGTGTCAGTGCCCTCCTGCGCAGTATTCGAGGCATGTTTGGACTACCTTTGGCTGGCTTGGACTCTGGATACGCTCTTCGAAGCCTCTCGTGGTCGTTCTGGAGACCTCTTCTCCCCTCTCGGTCCTCGGTTGCCTGTTGGCGCCCCCTCTGGCGTTTTGTTTTTCTAACAAGTCGGGCTCCACGGCAAACAGCAGCCCAAGGCTGGACTGGAGAGTCAGGAGACAATACGAGAAAGCAGTATCGAAGAAACGAACACTTCAGTCCAGCAGCAATGTTTCACAGCCTTGCAAGCCAACGCCGGCCGGCGGGTATTCTCCGACAGCCATTGCAGAATACATGTGAAACGAGATTGGGAAAGTGAGCATCTATGATGCATCTTTTGAGAAAAAGAATGAAAACTTGGCCGCGGAGCTGATACCACTCGACATTGGCTGCGTGTGCTGTGCGATTCGACGAGATCCGATAAACACTTTGCACGGCATTGCAGCTAAGCAGCGTTCTGGCGATTTGCACCCAGACGGTATTCTCATTGAGCTGACAGGCGCTGCTGATCCAGCACCAGGTATACAATCATTCATCATGGACGATTTGTCGAAAGACGCATTCGTCATTGAGAACGTTTTACAGCACGGGTAGATGCTAAGCACGCAGGTGCAAAGCCTGATGAAAGCCCAAACAAAACACTACATGCGCACACATAGCGTTTTCAAGCACGGTTTTCTACAATGTAATCGATCGAGTTAATGAAGGTGTATTCGAAGTATCGAGCGACGCGTAAAAGCAATCAACAGCTTTGTAAGCGTCATCAGGTGCGGACAGGCTCGCGTTGATAATGCTCGGGTGATGAACATCCAGGCTTTCAATCTTACGTGGGTTCTGGAGGACCAGTACATGGAATCTGAGTATCTCGTTTCATTTTACAGGCCGAAGATGGACAGCACCATTTCAAATCTTGGTGCGCGAGATGAGGCCGCGATGTATATGCAAACGAATCAGTGAATTATGGGAATTACATGGTTGACGAAGCCACAGCAGTTAAATTCTGCGAATAGAAGGGGCGCTGCACATCGAATCGATTGGGCGTGGTATGCAGGAGCGCCAGAAAGAATCAATAGAGGGTTTATTCGCATGTGTCGCGGAGCCCCTACACTTCGTGGTCGGCGCGCAAGTATTGATGAGGCCAAACAACAAATCACGGCTCGTCAAAGCCATTGTCGTCAAGCATTGGGATGGGTGCCACGTTGTCTTAGCGAGAGGGCACGAGTGCATTAGGCCGAGGTCCGATCTCCGAGTTGGAGTTGGAGTGGGCGCCGCGAGATGATGACGAGTGCATCCGCACATTTGTGCGGCGCCGCCAGTTGTACAACATTTTCTTGCGAGGGGTCTCGGAAGCTTCGCGCATCGTGCGCCCCTCTCTGCAACTGGGCAGGGATAGCCTACCGAGGGGGCATGTTTGCATTAAGTCTCAAGGATCAGCGAGGCATACCAAAAAGGACCCTGCCTCCGAGGGGTCGAAGAGGTATCCTCTCGTCCTCGGCGGACGGCGGCGGAGGTAAAACGAGGGTAGCTTCGCTGGTTGAAGCCGCCAGAAGTGAAGTACTGCCTTCCCAAATTTTGACGTTGTTTTGGCCTCAGTGGTTCTTGGACGGTCTTGGTCGCGACCAGATCTGCAGCCAACAGTTATTCATGCGTGCGAGTCTGTGCAGCAGGACGGACATCCGCTTACCAGTTTCAGTTAGGTCTGGGTGGCACAACTACCATGACCAGGGAGGCAGCATCACGCCGTCAACTATTAAGGGGCTTAGTTGCCTTGATGCGCTCGTTTTGAAGCGCAGCACGTTCCGTGTTCAAACCGTCTGTGTAAACGCGCCGCGTTTTGATTCAACATGCGTCGGCTCATAATTCGGCGACATGTGCAGTCAGCCGCTGGTCCTGGTTCACCACGCTTCGGCGCGACACGCAGACCGCATCCCAGCCCCCAAGCATCAATGTCCCGAGCTGTTCCCAGCATCCTATCGCGCGAGGCGGAGCGACACGCTATCTGCTCACAGGGCATGGCGTCGCCGCGAAACGCTGAGCAGAAATTTCCCACCGAAACGCGCCACTTGCGGTTTGAGTCTGCGTGTTGGGCTCCAGAAGCACGCTCCCGCTCTCCAGGGTGTGGGCGGCCTTCAAAGAAGGCTGGGGGGGTTCTCAGAAGATTTTGGTCTTTCTTAGAAAGGAGGGAGGCTCCAATGCGAGAGGTTCTTAGAAGCCCCTCGCCTGTCTGTGAAG